TTGACTACTAAAGACTTAAATTTTCAGTAAATATACTCTAAAATCGAGAAAAACTTCGTTCTACATCCGTTGAAGATATCAGGGCGTACATATAAGGTATACCAAGTCACTGCATGATAGGTYTTTCGGTTAAGATTAAATTATCTAGAATTGAAAAAACCCGGGCCGCAACTCGCCTGTACCCAAAATAAACTCGGGTCGCAATTCGGAGTAGACCTTTTTTCGTAAATATTTTCGGGACGCAACTAGTATGCAGCCTGAAAATCCGGGACCCAACTAATATAGTACCTTTAAAAATCTAGGACCCAACTAGTATAACACCTGCAATTAGCCCCTAGTACTCGGGACCCAACTCGGATGCGCCGAAAAAAAGGTTAGAGTACAGGAAACCCCCGTCTGCTGTGCTGTACCGTATTTCCTGTTATCGATTGATAATAACTGATGTTATTATTATTATGTGAATAGGTATAGATATACAAGTTACACGGGAAAATGTATTTTTGCCGATTTCAACCATTTAAAATCAAAAAATTGAAAATCGGGCGACGTGGTGACATCGGGAAGGCATTTGGAACAACTTTGTGAAAAAATTTAAATAGCGTAGTCACAAAATTGGTACATAAAAAAGTCCTGTTCTTTAAATAATAGGTAAATAAAATATAAAAATAAATATAATATAAAGATATAAAGATAAGGATTCGTAGATAAAATATTTAATATAATTTTTCACTCTTTTGTATTTATTGTGTTATAATAATTATTATTTTTAAATATTTAGTTCCTAATTTTATAGAAAATACGAGAAATATAAGTGGCTGACGTCAACTAAACCAATATCCTTTGGTTAATTACCGTGCGAAACAGTTTTTGCTATGTTACGCACTTGTTAGACGGAGACAACACATGCAGGTATCACGTTCTTTAAAAAAAAAGCAAAATTTAAATACATTTACATATTGAATATTAATATTTTTAACATAGATATACATTGACAGTGTACATATTTACCAATATCGTAAGTATTTAGGTACCTATATCAAATTATGATTGGTAATTTAAGAAAGTAAACAATTTAAATATGAATTATAAATAGGTAGGTATCTATAGTTGCAGATACATAAAAAATATCAAAATAATTATACTTATTTAGTAGTATCATACATTTATTTACAGGGGCATTTTAGGTGTAGTTCGTATACTGAAAATGGCACATACAAAATATTTTATTGTCTAGTGCTATACGGATTACGAATAGGAATGGAGATGTGTTCCACTAAATAGGTAGGTTACCTATGTGAGGATGATAACATGTAGTTGTGATTAAGATAACATATAAACGTAATATTATTGAACGAGTATCACTATATAGTGTACATGGTGTAATGATGTGCGCCTGAGCCATCATATCTCTTTTAAATTTAAAATGTGTATTAAAATATTTATAATAGGTTATAGGTCTACTAAAATCTATCAAATAGTATGAATTTTGAACCATTTCATAATAATTTCTATAGGTACTTCCAATGTAATCTTTTATTGAATCATAAGTCATCATATTTATAAAACATAAATGTGCTTATATAATATTAATCTCGTAGTTGAGAATTGAGCTGATTACTGATATCATATTATATTCATATTATTTAGACGATATACTTATACTATTATCATGTTAAAATAGCTTAATATTAATAATTATCCTTAGATATAGATAGCCGTATAGGCTAGGAATGCCTTATTGTAAATACATTTAAAAAAAGATGATATACTTATAACATATTATTCATTATACACATATAGCTCACAGATGGCAAATGTGTAAATACCTATATAAAAATAAACTAAAATTTTTCTTTCCATTAATTGTAGTATTATTAATCATATATTATTACTCGTTTAAAATTACGTTTTTAAATTTTTACATACATAATGTTGCCAAGCATGTTATTTTGTACAATTGCGTGTGCTGCGATCGCCGTTGCAAGGGCATCGAATATTTTAGTGTTTATACCGATGCCGTTTCCAAGTCATTTTCGTGGATTTCAACCATTGTTTGAAGAGCTATCCCGTAGAGGACACAACGTGACCGTAGTCAGTTCGTATCCCCAAAATCGTCAGATTGCCAACTACACAGAAATAGGACCATTTTTTTCCAAAAATGAACATGGTTTGTTAACCGTAAAAGTATAAGCAAGTTTTTTTTTTATTAGAAATAAGCCTCGGCAGCGGTGGCCACTGGCTGAATTGATTACATTGTTTTTACATATTTTTTTACATAAAGGTAGTTTTGTTTTTACATATTATTTTACATTACTTTTTTACTATAAATTTTCGATTTCAGTTTCTTTTATGAAGTTTAGTGTCTGTTTGATGGCTGATATGTTTCGACCTAGTGATTAGTATAGAAATTCTAGGATGTTGTGTTCGGCTCTTGCAGCTTCTGTTTGTTTGCGTTCGACGAGTATATATGTTTGAAAGTCAAATGAACTCCGCATGTTACGCACCTGGGCTTTTATTCTCTGCTCATTAGGCAACCGTGTGTGTAGCGAATGTGTCCTATTCTTAGACGTGTTAGTAATACTTCTTCTTTTCTGCTAAGATTTGTTATGTTTTTTCAATTTGTGAAATTATTAMAAAACAGATTAAAAAACATAACTCTGTTGTCAAGTAAATATTAAAGTTGACTCAAATTCTATTTTTCTGTACTGATTACTATTTATTGAATACTTATTATTGGCAAAAAATTGAATTGTCTGGTTTTTTCTCAAGGCTTCACATTACAATGACAGCACCTAATGATATGTGTAACTAATTTTACTTATTTGTTTTAGAAAGAAATGCTATGGAAATGATGGAATTGAACTTTGTGACGTCGGCTTTGACAGTATGGAGCATTGGCATAAAATTTACTAAAGTATTAACACATAAATCAATGGTAAACTTCCTCCAAACGAATTCCTACTCGTTTGATTTAGTAATAATAGAATCATGTTGTCAAGAATATAGTGTGGTTTTGGGCCATAAATTTAACGCACCCGTTATCAACCTGGTACCAGCCATGCTCTGGAGTAGCATGAGCAAATGGATACACGTCCCTTCCACTTTCTCGTACATACCAAATACCCTTTTGGAAACAACAAGCGATATGAGTTTCATACAACGTTTAAAAAACACCATCATTGGAATGTTGCAATTATATGTAGAAAATTACGTATATTTACCTAAAATGAAGGAAGTTATGGATACACACTTCACATACAAAGGATGGGAATCTAGACCTTCGCTTGAAGATATGTTAAATAATGTGTCATTAACATTAATAAACACTCATCATGCGATCGGTATATCCAGGCCATATCTCCCAGGTGTTATTGAAGTAGGTGGTATGCATATCAAAGAGCCCAAGCCTCTGTCTGGGGTACGTATAATATTAATTTAGTGTAGCTAAATAGTGTAGATAGGAGAGAGGTGGCCAAAGTGAGACGCTATAAATTATTTTTTTTGTTTTCAACGATAATCATTTAATAGGGTTATGGTTTTATTCTAAATATTAGTGAGCGTTAATAAACAKATTAATACATTCTAAAATGTAACATTCCAACTCAGAGAACCTTTTTTAAAACAATTGTCTCACTGTGACCCAGCCTTATACACAATGAGACACGTCACAGGGCACTATATGGTACATAATATAAAACATTTTTAATTTTTAGTTTATCTTTTATACTTAAACTTTTCATTTCTCAACACTTATATAATATGATAAAACAATTAAAGGTATTTTTATAGTAAATTTTAAAATAATTAATTGTGTTTTTGTATATAATTAAAAAAATGTAGGTATTCAATTAGTTTATTTCAACAGTTTTATGTTAAACTTTTAAAATTTAAAAAAAAATCATAACCTATATCACTTTATTACGATCACAACTTATTTCAACATTCTCATTTTGGAATTAAAGTTAAGTTATAGGTAAATAGTTAAATGAATAATAGAAAAGTAATAACATGTACAGTGAGACAACGGTATTTATTTGTCTCACTGTATACCGATCTATTATTTTGCAGATTTTTATCATTTTCAAATGAATATTTAAGATAAACAATTGTGTATACTACTAAATTATACACAAGAAAACTTAATTTATATGGACCTTAAAATATGTAACTTTGAATAAAATTCGATGAAAACATTTTAAAAAACGAAACTCAAATTGTTCACGTTTTGATAACAAAAAATAACAATATTATGATAAAATGATACATAACAATTTAATAAATTAATATAGTATAACATATTCTAGAGTGATAAACCGTCTCCACTAAGAATCGTTTTTTATACACAATTTTATATCATTGAATTCAAATTGAATACCATTCATCACAGTAACCCACTTGTTACCAACTGTAAAGTAGAGCGACATCCACTTAATCCCTTTTTTTAATTTGTGCAGAGTATATAGTACATGAAAACAGTACCTATAACTATATCTACAATCTACAAACTAGACATTGAGCTATTAAAATAAAATATATCATCTTTATGAAAAAAAATTATACAAAATGTATTGTGTTATTTTTTATTTTAGGATCTTCAAACTTTTGTAGATTCAGCAGAACATGGAGTGATTTATTTTAGTTTCGGTTCAATGATTAACCTAAATAATTTACCACAAGAAAAATTGAATATTTTTCTTCGAACTATTGAAAAATTAAAACAAAAAGTGATACTAAAATGGATACCAAATACTAGTGTAAAGTTATCTCAAAATATAATGATTGGTTCGTGGTTTCCTCAAAGTGATATTTTAGGTAAATATATGTCTGTAAGCTGTGATTTTGGAACATATTGAGAGGGTGAGTGATCTGATCAAGCTTTTTTTTATTTACTTATGTTTTTTATTTTTTTCTTATAATTTTGTAAGCAATGGTTTTTAAAATCACTGATTTCTCTGAATTATGTTCTAAAGACTCTCTTGTCCTACCTAGCTAGAGACTATTAGGATTTATTTTTCAATTATTGTAACTTTTATGTATATTATACAGCTCATCCAAATGTTAGGCTTTTCATAACTCATGGAGGATTACATAGTTTAGAGGAAACTGTTTATCATGCAAAACCTGTAGTTGCTATACCATTTTTTGCTGATCAGTATTTAAACATGAAATTAGTAGAAAAAAAAGGGTATGGTAAACTAGTCGATATTTTTAAAATTACTGAAGAATCATTTGGAAATGCCATCAAAGAAGTATTATCTAATCCAAAGTAAGCCCAAATAATTTATTTTATTAATATATTATACCTGAACACAATATATAATACGTACAATTTTGAATGTTCTTGWATAAGGTTTAAAAATAATGTAGAAATCCAGAGTCGTGTCTACAGAGATCAACCGATGAAACCTTTGGAACGAGCTGTTTACTGGATCGAGTATATTATTCGAAATGGAAGAGCTGAACATCTAAAAAGTGACTCGATGGGATTAAACGATATGCAGTATTTTTTGTTTGACATAGTATTTRTTTTACTAATACCAGTTGTATGTATAATTTGGTCAAGTTATTTATTTGTGGCAAAAATTACATCTAAACTATATTAAAAAATTACACTGCTCATAATTATTTTGAAACTCACTTAAGGTACCTAAATACCTAATGTCTCGTGCTCAGTTGGCATAAGCCATTAAAACAGAAGGGATTGAATGAATTCCAAATAGACTGTTWGTGATATAGACATTAGAATCATTAGATAAATTGAAAAATATTCTAAATGTTATGAAAATGAAGTTCAAATGATTTTTATCACTTATAAATTTAGCATAATAACGCTCTTCAAGTTTACGCCATAGGCGTAACTAGACCTTAAAGTTAGGGGAGGGGARACTTCAGCCCTATAATTTTTATAATAGGTAAATTGAGTGGGGGTGGATCTGCCCTCACACCCTCAAACATATTACATTAATTGATTATAAATGTAATATAAATGTCAATTGATAATTGATATCATATTTTATTATTATATATTATAAAACAAATAATAAACAAAGTGATATTGAGGTTAAAATATTAGCGTATTATTAAGTATTATTTTAAGTTACATTTTCTTAAAATATAATTGAAACTATGATAGTTAAAGGAATTTTGTACATAACTCCTAAATCTTTAGGGCCCATCAGCTCATGACTTAGTTCATGTRACTCAGTGGCGTATTTACGGGGGGTGATATGGGTGATATATCACCCCCAGCGCATTTTTTTTTTAGGATTTATTTTACCCCGCATTACCTATTCTACAGCTTGTCCGGAACRGTCATTTTCAAGATTAAAAAGGATTAAATCATATCTACGCAACACAATATTGTGAAGTAATTACAAAATAATATTATATTAACCTATGCATTTTGTAATGTTTTATTTTTTCAATTTAGAAGAGGCTAAATGGTTTAGCAATGTTAAGCATTCATCGCGATATTGGCATTAATGTCTAGTGTTAAATGAAATGTCTCAAAAACCAAGACGAATGAATATTATTTTGTGATTTTTTTATGAAAATAAATGTAGGTATAATATTATAAATATTGGAATAGTTTTAAGTAACATCATGGTGACATGGCCTATATAGTGTACTTTAACGAAAGGTAAGATAACATAATGTGATCCTAGATATTTGTCCCCCTCGCAGTCTGTCCCTAATGTGCTAAATAATTTTGGTCATATCAACCCCTAGAAAAAAATCCTAGATACGCCACTGATGTGACTGTATCAATGGTTTGGTAAATATTGTACTATTTGAACTA